ACACATCCGATCGATTACATTGCATCTGGTGATCTTGGCCGAGCATCTGCGTACCTGCCTTACTAGTCACCCTAAAAGGAGGGTATCTTGGGCAGATAAGAAAGCGACCAGCATTCGCATCGAATGTCGGGAAGCGACATTTGCAGCGATCGATCTCTCTATTGACATAGTATAGGCAAGAACGAGGCGACATCACTTGGAATGCGGCAGTCAATGCCAAGGCCACATGCCGCGTGTACATGAAACTGTTGAGTCGGGGCGAAAGGAAGCAGCAGTCAAGGTCACTCTTAACTCACCTTCAGAAAGACAAAACCGCGCGCCTTGAAGTAGCAAGAGCTCCAGATGCCCTGGTCCATCGACGAAGGGGTGGTTCTTACTCCTAGATACCTTGAGACAAGAGCCTTGAGAGGCAAAGGCTTCATAGAAGGTGAGAGTTCCTCGGTCTAGAGTCTGGCGTTTTCCTCAACAATTCCTGTTGGTTATCATTCCATCATCGCTTCCCAGGAGCCATGCCTTGACCGTGCAAGGAACCTGCCGTGCTCACCTGACATCGAAGCCCTCTGAATCACAAGGTCTGAATCACAAGGCTCTGCCGCATGAATCATCCATGTCAATTCTTTCCAAGTGAACTGACCTGTCGACATCTTCTCCTGATTTGACCGACCTGACAATCCAACTTGCTCACTTCTTGTCTTTGACATTACACTCTCTACCTCTACCTCACACTCTTTTGGACCTTTTTGGACTCCTGAAACCATCCCGAATTCCTTCTCTACTTTTGTACCATCAGCAATGATCCGCAATCCAGTCATCAGCGGCGCTGTTCTCGCCTTGTCCCTGGCAGCAGTCAGCATCGCCCAGGAGAACTAGAACCAAAACCTGGTTCTTGCTGACTGTGGTATCGGTACCAATCCTGAGAATGCCACCTGGTCTACCTCTCGACAGATCAACTGGTATCATGATGCCATTTGGCCAACTTCGGAGGAAACCAATCCCATTGCCCCCGATCAAGCCATCGAGATGCCCTATGGAGACGGCAAATATCCCTGGAACTTTGAAGGCGCCAGCGCCATACTCCCCAATGGCGATCTTTGGTCAGTCTGGATCAATGATGGCACCCCGGAGCCCGAGCGTGCTGGTCGAGCTTCCAGTCCCAAGAACGGCGGCACCGAGCTGTGGTGTTACACCTATCGTAACCGGCCCATCAGCACGGCCGTCTCCAACTCGAGCTCTATCTGTGTGACAGTCTTTATCTGCAACCACCTCGGAACTGGCCCGACTCCCTGGACGACCGCTCCTGGCGCGCCTGTTTAAAAACCCTCTATCTGCACTCTCCGGGTGCTTCAGATTCTCTAGTACCTC